TGACTGCTCACATTTCTGCTCTTACCACAAAATTTGCAAAAGGCCCCAAGATCTCTAGAGCAGCCCTATAGTTCCAAAAGGGTTGCCCAAGCTGTTATAAATGCAACGGCAAATTAAAGATTAACAAAGATTAATTTATTATAAATTAATAAAGCAACAAACAGTGAGGAAAAAAACCACAATAAATGGACAGCGCAGCGCTGGGTGGACAGGGTCTATACGCAAGGTATAGGTGTTCCCAAATCCACGTCTGAGGGTCCTCTGGCCTGGGTTTTTATAGGGATTTTATGTCCCCAGGCTAGAATTCCAACCAGTTTCCATTCACCAAATGTCCCTGATTGTCGGGTGAATGGATTTCCTGGCCTAGAACATTGAGTCAGTAAGTATCCGGGCAGAGTCTCCTCAAATGCAAAGTGAGTCTGTATGTATTTTAACATATTTCATCACAGCAGGATTGAGAGATCCGGGCTGGTGCCGATGGATATCTCAGAGGAGTAGTCTCTTCTTTGTCTTTCTTGATTGAGTTTCTGTAGTATGGGTTTGGCAGGTGTGGTGTTCGATTCTGGCAACGACCATCTTCCTGGGGCTCGTCCCTTTTGTCTTGCTTGATGGTCTCCGGCCGAAATCGGCCGGGCGTTGCCTTTCTCTGGAGGTAGACTTCTAGGCTGGTTCTTTTGTTCCTGTGATGGCCTGTGTCCTGTCTTTTCCTCCGAGTTGATGAGTCTGTTGAAACCTGTTATCTGGGGGGGGTTCTTTTGCAATTCGTGGTTTTTGGAAAAGGAATTCTATCTCGACCGGGAGGAGAATTCCTTATTCCATACTTACATTTAGTTATAATTATACATACTTTATTTAAACTTCTTATTCCGAATTTTTATTTACCCAATTCTTTATTACACAAGCCATGAGCAATCTGAGCTGCTGGGGTTGCCTGGGCTGTTGCTCCCTGAGATCCTCAGCCTTCCCATGCCTCACTTCCTCTCCACTGAGCACAGGGAAGGAGACATCCCCCTTCCATTGGATCAGGGTGTAGGAGGAATAAATAACCCCATAACTCAAACCAGGACAGCCTGCATAGCGTGAGGGCAGTGCTTCAGTGGCCAACTAGGAATGAACAGCAGTGCCTCTCTCCCCTTCCATCTCCATGTGCCCTCCAGCCACCCTTTCCCCTTTTCCTGGTTCCCATCTCCTTCCCACTGAGCTGAGCTGCAAACCACTGCTCTCCCCTTGCTTTAGCAGGCTCCAAACTGACACCTTGGTCAGAACCTGTGCTGGGGCCCTTCTCCCCAGGCTCAGTCTTGTTGCAAATCCAAGCAAACAGTGCCTGGCCCCTGTGCTGGGTTTTATCATTACTCATAGAGCTTGGGCAGGATAGGACAGGGTAAAGGTTGCACAAGGAAGATGCTTGACACCTTGTAAAGGGCCAGCCTGAAGAGCACTAAAATCTTGGGAGGATCTATTGCCTAAGGATGCCTTCATGACTCACAGCAATGAAAAGGAGCCTTGCTCTCTGTACTGGGCCCTAGGCTGGCATACAAAGGCATCTCAAATCCATCCTGGGTTGGGCTGACTGGTAAATGGCAAAGTTCTCAGGTATTTCTGAGTGAAAGGTGTCTTTGATGACTAGGCTTTAACGTGTTAATGCCTGCTGTGCCCTGATGTGCAATGTGTTCACTATTTTAGAATTAGCCCCCAAGATTTGTTTCAAATCAGCCCTGAAGGATAATAACCTGTGTCTAAAAAACCTTCATGTGTCAATTCGTTTCAGGACCCTCACTGTGTTATAAATCAAGGACTGAAATCTGTAATCAAAAGCTCTGCTGAGCCTCCACTTTCCTTAAAACATTTCCCTCCTTGAGCATAATCTTCACATCAGCAGTGGGGAATGCATCATCTCCTTCATTGCTGAGCAGCACCAGCACAGCTGTGCATGGCTGTGATTTTAAGTTCTGATAAGGAGCTGCTTTCTCAGCAGTAGAACCCTTGTCTCTGCTTAACCAGCCACATTTACTCCTGGCAGGAGCCCCCAGTCTCAAATTACCATTGGGATGGATACCCTGGGCTTGTGCACAACGAGGGTGGAGGAGCAGGGGGAGGGGTAGCAGGTTTTGGGTTTGTGCTCACAGCAGATCCTGTTGTGTTGGATGGTTGGAACCTGACATGTGTCAGAGACTCTCAGCAGCAAGAAGAAAGAAGTGGGAGTATTTCTGTGGTGCAGGCTGGCTGCCCATGAGTGCAGAAATGAAAGGGATAAAAACACACTGGGATGAAATGTTTGTTCATCCATACCAGTTTCATTCCCAGCCTTGTCTGCACCTATGTGCTCTGCAAGCATCATGATGACTCCAGGTCTGCCTGGCTAAATACACTGAAGGGTATGAAATTGGTTATTCCCTTTCCTACCAGTCCTCCTTCCCTCCCAAAACCTCCATCACTGGCCTTCTTCAAATCCCATGTCAGATTCTGAGGATCTCTACAATAAAATAACAAACCCAGCAACCAGTAAAAAGTCTCTATGTACTTGTAGTACTGAACAGAGACATCTGTCATGGTCTCTCCTGGCAGCTGCCCATCCCCTGAGCAGCCCTGAGACCCCTGGGAATTATGTTATTTTAATCCAAAAGCTGCCAGGTATCTTGGAATCCAGATTTGCTTTCAAAAAAATCCAGTGTTTTCAAAACAAAACTGCAGGATTTTGGTTTCTTTAATGTTGTTTGAGGTTCCCTTCTAATCCCACATGAAAATAATTCTGTAAATCCCAGTATAATTTCAAGGAAATGGGGCTTACCAGTCAGCTCTGGCACTGTCAGCCCTCTCTTACCTCCTCTCTGTTGTGCCTCCAGCTGCTAAGACTTGGAGGCACCACTGTGCTGGTTTTAGGGAACACTCTACCAGTTTTCCAGAAGAGCAAGAAACAAGGTCTTAAACTAAGCCAAAGTCCAGGACTTTCCATACCATTCTATGTCATTGCTTCCAGAAGCTTCCTCCCTTTTCCCTGTTAAAGATGGGCTCTTGTTGAGGCCTTCCCCTGGAGGGGCTGCTGCAGGGCTGTAGCCACATGTCAGAGCCTTACAGGGTGTAGGATGATCCAGACCTACTGAAAGCAATAACCACTGCAACACCCAGTCAGCCTGAAATGGTGCACATAGCTCCAGGCAAAATAAAATTCTCTGTTTCCTCTGTTAACTGGAAACTGGAGATAGAGCTGCTAATTCCAGTACTGATCAACTCTGCCATTAGTCTGAGGGAAAAAAATTAATATAATTGCTTTTAAGAGCTGGGGATTGCAGAAAGACTGGTGGGATAATCAGTAATCAGTGACAGAGCAGTTGTACCATGGCCTGTCTCTCTTCCAACAACGTAGGATGAATATTGCTCCATGCACTGGGATGTACAGGAGAACAAGAAACACAGGCAGTGCCTATAGAATGGGGACTCACTGTGTCTAGAAGAGGATTTGAGGGATTTAGGGGGATCATCTGTACCAGCTCTCAGTGTGATGTTGCAGCAAAAAGGACTGAGACTGAAGAACAGATGGGAAATCTGTGCCTTAGTCAAACACAAGCTGTTGGACTCAACAGGAGGAGCTGGTTACATCTTATAATTCTGTGTCAAACAAGAAAGCAAATGAGATGTTCCTATGGAGTGTAAATTTTTGATTTGCCAAGGGTCACACGTGATATTTATCATAAAAAAGAAATTTGAAGACGTCTGTGAAGCCCTGTGGCCAACATCCATCTTCTGAATCTTTCTCTCTCTTGAATGAGAAATAACAAACAGTTTTCATTGCTTTTCCTTTTTTTCCTCCCTTAGATTGGAGTGGGCTGGCTGAGAAAGCTGTGGTTGTGAAAGGCTGCTCCCAGAACTGGTATTGGGAAACCTGCTTTTGAGCAGAAATTCTGATTACAGCACAACCTTGTCCTGCTGCACTTTGTACTCAATCCTGCCTGAATCCTACAGCACGAACCTTTGCAGGTCCCACTGCACCCACTGCCATGTGAAACACCAGTCTCGCTCCAAGGCCTCTCCTGGTCCCTGCTATAATTGTCCTGGTTCTCAGATAATTTGCTCTGCCTCACTGCCCTGCAGCAGCAGTGGGTCACCAGCGAAAT